ATTCAAGCCAACACTCACCCATTAATAATCCATTTGTTATTCTTCCCATGTCAGCAGCCTTTTTTAAATTTCCAATTATCTAATTTCAATAATTAATATTAATTTATTAAATTTTTATTTCAAATTATGATGATTTTAATTTTCGTTTAGAAGTGGGCATCCAAGTCAGTACCAGGCATCGATGGAGAGGACAGAATCCACTCCTATTAAAAAATTATTTTAACTTTAGTGTTTAATACTGATCCAAAATGTTAAATTAAATTGATTAATTATAACTAGTTAATATTTGATAATATCTCTAATTTATTATCATTATTTTTAAAGAGGATATTTTATATTCTCTATTTTCTTTTAATTTTTATCACAATTTTTGCAGGCTTTACAAGGAAGAGTTTGATTGGAGATCAAAACTGGACAGCATCAGTTTCAGGGCTCCGGATGAATCCAGTGGGCGCAAGTAGATGAGTGTTTTTTTAGAAGAAGAGATCCTTAGAAAGTCTCAAGACGTTAAAAGAGACAAGGTACCGGGTCCAAATGATTTTAATATAGGTTTCCTCCAGGAGTTTTGGTACATACTGAAGAAGAATATCATAGATCTCCTCAGGAGTTGCATGAAACAAGGTCCTTCATAAAATCTCTCAATTCATCCTTCTTAGAGCTTATTGCCAGGATCAGAGGGGCACACAACATTATAGACTTTAACCACATAAGCTTAGCTGGGTCTATTTGTAAGCTGATGTCATGGACAACAAGACTGGAGACTGTCAGCAAGTTTTTGTGGGAGGAAGGCAAATTTTTTATGCTGCCTCGATTGCTAATGAAGTGGTCGATGAACTAGAGGAGAGAACTGGTGCTTAGCTTGATATAAAAGAGGCTTACGATCATGAGTTGGAGTTTCATGGACTATATGCTTATGACGATGGGTTTTGGAAAGAAATGGCAGCGTTGGGCTAAATACCACTACAGCGTCTTCTACTGTTATTGTTAACGGAGGCCCATCATCATTCTAGCCCATCATCTTCCTAAAGAGTTAAGGCAGGGTAATCCATGGGATCAGGTGCTAATTTTACCAATCAAGTATTTAGGTTTACCTCTGGGTGCTAATTTTAGGGAAGTGAAGCCATGGGATCAGGTGATGAATAGGTTTAAACAGAGACTAGCAGGGTGGAAGAGATCCCTCCTTTCTAAAGGGGAGAGGCTTACATTTACTAAAAAACACATTGGGTAACTTACTGATCTACTGCATGTCCTTTTGACCATCCCAGTGTGGCCAATAAGTTGGAAGCTACTAAAAGTATGTTCCTTTGTGGTGACGCGAAGGGCAGAAGAAGATATCATTTGGTAGAATGGAATGAGCTCAAGAAGTCACTATCCCAATGGTTTGAGCTTGCGGTCCTTGGTGGAAATGAACGAGACTTTGCAAGGTTGTGGAAGTTTACGAAAGAGGAAGGAACGCTTTGGAGAAGGATAATTGCAGCCAAACTTGGTATCGAGACCTTAAGGGAAAAGCATGTGGAAAAAGACCAGTGCAAACTGAGATAAGCTCCAGGCGTGCATCAGATGGAAGGTTGGTAAGAGGGATAGAATCAGACTTTAGGAGGGTTAGTGCATGAATGGTGATACCCTTAGGAACCAGCATCCTCAAATTTTCGCTATAGCCCAATAGAAGATGGAGAAATCTGTGAATCTTTTGTGGAAGTGGATAGGGCGAAAAAGGAAAATATTTGTTAAGCATTCTTTCCCTTGGGACTCTGGACGGTAGCAATGATAACCCTCAGCAGTGCCTTACTAAGAATAGGTCTTTTGCGATCAAGTGCTTCTATAGCCAATTGTTCAAGCATGAAGGAAATGGTGTTAGATTCCAATTAGACAAATTTGGAAGGTAAGAGTTCCTCCCCATTTATCATCTTTTGCAAAAGAGGTTAGTGGGAAGTCCATTTTGACAATTGACAAGCCAAGGAGACAGGACAAGATTCTGGTGAATGCTTGTTTTCTTTACAAGAGGTCAGAGAAGACTTCCAGATTGCCGTCATCTAACACTCGTGCCCAGTATCAAGATTTTATATTGTTTGCTACACCAAAACTCGGGGACAACTTTTCTCCAACCAGGGGAGAGTGACGCAAAATGGGTTATACCTAGATAGATTAGAAGTTAAAATTCTAATGTTAAGACTATTATATTATTTATGACTCTATTATTATAGTTTTAATAATTTTAGAATTTTATTCCTTTGAAAATCTAGATTTTCTTTTTTAAAAAATAAAATGTATGAACATATTAACAAAGTACCACAGAAGTGCAACCCATTTACAAAAGTATTACATATTTGTTAGGCAATCTATTATATATCAAAAATCATCCACCGTATATAAGTCATGCCCAATTAGTATCTAAATTTCCTATTTATTTTAATATTTCCTATTTTGTATTAAAATTAGTATTCTCAATTTTTTTAGCATGAATATTCTTCTTTTGTTAGAAGTAAAATTCCTGATTAAATTTTTGGTATTTCCTAATCTAAATTAGGAAAAACATACTTAGCACTCTATGAATATGATTGTAATCTCTTGAGAGGATAGCATTCATTTATTCAATAACATTTGAGAGTTTCTCGTTTTTCTAGTCATATGATGCTTAAGACTTCTTAGATGTAATGTTTAAAAAGTCCTATATGTGATGTCTAGGGTTTTCACCCCCAAATCCCTAATCAGACAAATTAACCATATTTGTCCAACATCATTAACATTTTGTTTATAATGTTGTGGTTTGGGGAACCTAGTGCATTTAAATCTCTGATCTTTTGTAAATCTCTTGTAATTGGATGGGCATCCTTAATACCTTCTATTCTAATTTCATTTTTTATCTACAAAATAAATACACAGCAGGTATATTATCATATAGATACAACACCTTGTTAGAGAATTTTTAGCCAAAATAATTTCATCAACTTGTTAACACCAAATGCAAACTTGATCAGGTGGAAGTGTAGAAAATGTTGTTTATGTTGCCACATATAACCAAAAACCAATAGGAACCAATCGGATAAGTTGAAACTGCTTCAGATGGGCCTGAAGAAGTTTGGTCAAATCTACATGAAACATCAAAAAGAGTAGTTTGACAGAAATACCAATCGCAGGTCATACACGAGTCCAACATAACATACTGGTCTCTGATCAGCCATGAGTGTCAAGCTTCTGATTAGGTTTACTTTAATGAATATGGTTCAAGATCAGTCACTGAATGTTGTTGACATGACTGCAAAAGTGGAGATGTGGCAGAGCAACACAAGGGATGCTATGATGTGACTGTTTTCAAGGTGGTGCGAGAAACTGGAACTTTGGGGTTCAGATGGGTGAGATGACTTCTAGGCACAACCACCAGGATGATGTAAACATTGGACAGATGAGACTGTTCAATGCCACTAGTTTTTCTTCCAGAGCAGGATATCTCTTTGTAGTTCTGGAAGTGTATGGCACTTAGCTCTAGAGCAATCTTTTCTTCACGTTCCTTTTGGAAGTAGGACATTTAGTAAGGAATGCAATGATAGAAGCTACGATCTTATACCAACGGATGTACAAGAAGTAGAGTTTGAAACATTGTCAGGGATGGTCTAGAAATAAGAACTGATACCCAGAAATTAGAAGAAAATAGAGGGAAAAACAAAAAATAGAGAAAAAAAAAGGATGAAATTTAGAGTTCGAGAGGAAATAAAGAATTTCTAATTCCTTAAAATCAACTTAAATAAGCCGAGTAAATTGAAGATACTAAATATCAAAAATATTATGCAAATTTTTTCATACTAAAGCTATTCTTTGAGGAGTTACAATAAAGCTATCCTACTTTAGGATCCTTTTATCATTTTTAATTTAGGTTAAAGCTTTCCATTTTCAAAGGATTAATCTTTTTTTTACAATGAACTAGTGATGAACCTTATGATGTAAAATAAGATGCATATGATTGGGAAATATGTTAAATGCTATATCTATAATAAGGCCAAACTCAATTTCTAATCAAAATTCACTTGAAAATGAAGAGTTGAACATTTTCACACAAATAAAATCACAATGTACAAACCTGTGCGGCCAACTTCTGAAGTCTTATGCTATCAGCTTCATCCCCATCCTCAGTGTCAACTCCCATTTCCTTGTCAGACCCATCACCATCATCATCTTCATCATCAGTTTGAAAGCCATCCATATCATCATCTTCTTCGGCCTCTTCCTCTTTGGCAGCTTGTACCACACAATGTTGAAAGTAATTTAACACTCGTGAAAAGAATTATAGTTCTTTTTAGGGAAATTTTTGATACTACAGAAGACACTGGAAGAGAGAACAAGGAGGGACAGAGGCACACCTGCAACTTGCTCTTTGTATGCAACTAAGAGATCAAGAGTGGCCTTGAAAACACGCTCCAAAGCTTCCCCTGGTAACTGATCAGCAGGGAGACCAATTACTGAAGTTAATCCCAAACAGCAAACCTTCTTATCATGTTCCCTGTATCAGAATTATCAATTCTATTAAATGGACCACAAACAGCAACAAGCTAAAAGATAAAGATCTGTCATGGTCTCCAGGTTGAGATGTCACCATGGTCGGACAACCATGAAATCTAGCAAAAAATACATTAAAAACATATGAAATCTTGCACAAAGTGGGACGCTGGCCTGTCAGACTTCCAGTCTTTATCAACCTATGATGATAATATTTTAGGGTTCAGTAAAAAGTACCCTTTTGTTTCGCATCAACGATGAAGAAAACCCTCAATCTCTAGAGAAATACTCTAATTTGTGAAATTTAGCAGATTTATTCACCTCCTTGGAGTACGTGTATAGGATGCTACAACATTTGCTTCAAGTTTCTAGGATCTAAGCTGATAATTTCCTAGCCAAAATCAATGACATCCTGACCAAAAAGTTTAACAAAAATAGCCAAAATTTCTAGACCAAAGGGAGTTATACCATTTCATCTGTCTCGGACAGATTCCTAAGGAATAAGTGTAGATGATCACATTTCTTCCTATTGTTGGTTCCACACTGGTAAATTGCAAATAATAAATGCCAACAACTAGACATCCCTAGGAAAAAAATGAAATAACTCTTCTTCACATGTGCTTCCTGTGGGAAAATCACTGTCTTCTGTCTCAGTATTAGCAAATTAATTTGATTTGATGTAATCAGTTTCCTATTTTTTCTCTTTGTAACTACCTCAAAAAATAACTACTATTCTACCCATAGACCTACCCATGTATATGCTCCTTCTCAACATACAAAAAAATCGGTTGCTGTCCAAAAAATTCCACATGGCCCTAGGCTCTGTCCTAGATTTTCATTGGCCTTCATTGCCAACTTATGCCCATACATTTCTGTTAAGAAAAAAAAAACAGAGTTCATTGTGGATTTATCACTGGTAACAGCTGCCAAACTGCATCGCATGCTCCCTCACTAGACTTGAGCTTTCTATCCACAACTTTAATCACCAGAATCCTCGTCTTATGTCTTTGCTGTGGATCCTTACAGGAGATTCTACACACCATTCTAGACAAGATATTAGAAACAACCAAAATGATTTCATCCTTAAACATTATTGCCGACTATAAAAACCTTTTGTAGAGCATGTGACAGAACAATGAAACAAGGCAGTTAAACAGTAACCCATAATGCAAATACAGCGTATATGCCAAGAATGTGACCATTATTGGAGTGCTGCAATTAAGCACGCAAAAGATGCTATAATGTTGAAGAATTCTCTTGAAAAAGAACAACTTTATGATTTTTTTGCAGGTCCCAACAGTAAATTGATCAAGTCAGGGTCCAGATTCTTGGAAATAAAGACATAACATCTCCAAAATGGATAACTTCCCAGGCTAATATTCCAATTTACTTTATGGGAATATAACCTTGTGGCTAGAGTGAGAAAGAAGCTAGAGGCTATATGGGGTAGATTTCTATGGGGTGGCTACAAGGAGAAGAAGAATATAACCTTGTGACTCTTTTTTTTTTTTTGAAATAAAAAGAGATATCATTCCAAAGGTACCAAGGAGGTACTGCCCAATATACAACAGTTACAGCTCAATCAAATGATTTAAAACCATCCTCAAATTTTCAAGATCCTGAATATTATGTTCCAAGAATAAAGAATCAAAAAGATGAAACCATCTATCCTTGATGTTTTTAAAATTATTTTCTATTCCCTCAAAAGCTCTTGAATTTCTCTCTTTCCACACAACTCACGTTAGAGATAATGGAATCAGCATTAAATATTTTTTCTTATCACACAATCTACCCCAAGCCCACAATTCATCCTTAACCGACCCCACTATAACCCATTTGATTCCCAACATTCCATAAATAGAAATTCATAGATCTGGCGAACACCACAATAATATATGGTTACAAGGTTCAGCATAACATTTGCACATATAACATCTATTCACCATTCATCTCCCCTTCCTCATGAGCACATCTATAGTTAAAACACTTCCTCTGCACACTTCCCATAAAAAAAGTCAATCTTGGAGGTGCTTTAGTCTCCATACTTGCTTAAATGGAAACACAGATTCAGCTTTCACCTTTCCACCTCAAAGGTTACAATATAGGGATTTCACAGAAAAAATCTCATATTTCTCCAACGTCCACTGTTTATAATCATCCCGGCCACCCACTTTTAATTCAGATAATACCAGATATAGTTGCTGAAAATCATCAATCTCCCAATCATTCAAATTTCTCTTCACCTGCACATCCCACTAGCTATGGTCTCCATTTTCCACATATGCCTCCCTTACCGTCATATTTCTGTTCTGAGCAATCTCGAAAATTCTTGGAAATCTGTCTTTAAGTCTAGCATTTCCAACCCAAGTATCATCCCAAAACCTTATCTTTAAACCATTTTCAACACACCATCTAGTACATTCCACAAAGGCTTTCCTACCCTTTAATATATTCTTCCATAAACTACAGTCATGGGCTCTCCCATCCACACTCCACTCATCTCTCCCACCCCTTGCACCCCATCTAGCCCCCACCATAATCTGTCACCTTCCCTACAATTTCTCCATAACCATTTTACTAACAAGGCGTTATTCATTTGAACAATAGATCTCAACCCCAATCCTCCACATTCCATAGGGTTTTTTACCTCCTCTCATCTTACAAAATGAAATTTCCTTTTATCTATCTCATCACCCCCATCCTCCACATTCCATAACCTTGTGGCTCTATATGCGGTGAAAATACCATTTCAAATAGGTGGGTCGGGTTAGAGATATCTAGTTATTCAATAAGCCCTCCAAGGGAAGTGATTGTGGAGATTCATATATAAGCAGCATAGTCTGTGGTGGAGAGTTGTCTGTGCAAGGTATGACTTGAAAATCCCCCTTTCTCGTAATAAAATTCCACTAAATTCACCCATAACAAAATGCCACAATCAAAGATTTGTTCTCAAGTTCCCCTGGAAATGGAGCTTCGGCAATTCAGCTGACCAGGAACTTAAATGACACATATATGACTTTATGATGTTGTTCAAAGATATTTCACAAGTGGTGATTTCCGTTGAGTCCAAGGATGAACTAGTTTGGTGGCTTAACTCAAGGGGAATATCCACTGTCAAGTGTTGTTACTTGCACTTGGCCAGGGGAGAGGGGATGTGTGAGAAA